CTTATTATTTTTTCAGTACATCTGAATTAGATATGTATACTTATGTACATACATACATTTCCATGCACTTGAATAGGGACAGGCAAAATCTGAATTTTTTATATGGAAAAGCGAGTGAATGTGGTTATAGTAATACATAATACAATAATATTTAGTACTACAAAAACAAAAAATATTAGTTTAAATCTACAACTCAAGGACAAGGGAAATTAATAACCTTTTACCTTTTTAGATATCATAAGAAAAAACGAATAAAGTGCTGGTGAAAATAATATTTTTACCTGTTTTGACTTTTTTTTTGTTAATTTAATGTTTATAAATTTTTTGTAAATGATGTACAAAATATAAACAAGTAATTTTTAGAAAAAAAACGACTTCAATTCTCATATAAAAATATATATATATATATTTCATGATTCAATGATCGGATCTAAACCGGATTAGTATGAGGCCGCCTCTGGGAAACTACCTTTCCGATGCAAAAAGAATTATCTAAATCGGTTGACGTGGTCCAAAGTTATGCGGTAACATATATAAAAAAAAAATATTCCGACGAACTGATAACCTCCTCCTTTTTTGGAAGTCGGTTAAAAATACAACAAAGTTTCATCAAAATTTCAAGACTAATAATTAAAATTTCTATAAAAAAAATTGTGCATGGAGTTTTATAGCACAACAAATTTTAATACATATAAATCGGTGCAAGTTTGTAGTCACTAAAAATCCCAATGATTCTTAGTATTTATTTTTTTTGGTGACGGTGTTGTGAGTTTCCTTCCATATAAGAAAAATAAATTTACCTTAATAAATTGTGATTTCCTGTAATGTATAAATATTTAAAATCTTACTTTTACTTGAAATTGCCTTGAGCCATGAAGTTGTGTCGAGATGTGAAGAGAATATAGTGAAGCTTTGCTAAACACCGACATCGATAGTCTTCAAAAATTATCGATAGTATCCCAGCTCTAGTTTCATCCTCATTCTCGGAGAAATATGGGCCGATAACTTTTTCGGCCATAACACCGCACCAAACAGTGTATTTGGATGGTTTAACTGGTGCTGGTGTGTTGCCCTTGGCTTTTGAGAGCCCCACAATCTACAGTTTTGCTGGGAAATGCGCTTCATCCGACATCAAAACATTACCTAATAAATCAATTTGTGTGGCTAATTGTGTAAAACGAATAACGTATTGCAGGCGTTGTTGGTGGTCTTGCCCACCCTGTATAAAAACATGTTTACCTGCTTTTTTTGTGGCCACTATTACTTTATGTTTTCTAGATTTTTCGACACATATAGATACAAAGCTGAGACTCGGAGTAAATACCCAAAATACAACGAAGCAATTAAAAAAGCTCACCTTCATTCCGTATTAAATATTATAATATTTTTACTTGCTGGATGTCAAAAACAGCGTGCAGAAATGAGGCAAAGATAAAATTGCTAAATGATAGCAGCACAAAATAAGTTTGAAATGTGGAAATAATGAGGTAATAGGTACTTCTCGTGTAAGAAAAAAATTTACTTTACAAAGCCGGACTGGAATTTTATTGAAACAGTAATACTTAAGCACAATTACCAATTTTTTCGGAATTGCGCTCATGTTAATCTAAAGTGATATAGGTATAAATTGCTTAAATTTATCAGTTTATCCACATTCTTTCATGAACGCACCTTGGTAAATAATTGCATAAAATTGTTTATTATCACAGCGCACGGCACTGCGCGCGAGTGACGAAAGCAGCCACAGTAGCATGCTGAAATGAATCGCTCATATATACACGAGATTTGGAAGTTTTTATCCAGACGTCCAATCGACATGTTATATATCGTTGGAAAGGTCTTGCAGAGTGTGTCCAGAAAATGTATTCAAGCTTCATAAGTGATTAACCGGATTCTTAAAAATTAGGATAAAGTGTTGCGAAACAAAAAATATTTTTTTGCTTTTGCCAGTTTAAGGCGGTATGTGGATGCACCAAACATATTTAGTGTTATTCTATAGGCCAATACCTTTCAAACGATACCTTATATATTGAGCTCAACCTACTAGTTGGAAAGATATAGAGCTAAATGTGTTTTGGTTCGTGTCTCCACTAGGAGATGCTTTGGTATGTATGTGGCATCTGTACGTACCTTCATTCAATTTTTTCAAACTTTCAGGAATTAAAGTACCAAAAAACTAGGAAGATTTTGTTCCAGGATGTTTCAATTCGTATGCCTTTGTGGGCGTGGCTGGTGCCTGAAATTCGAAAAAAGGCAGTTTTTTAAACTACCACTGAGGCCGCACTACTCATTCCATACCATTCAAATATAAATATGTCATAACGTTATCGCCTAAAAACTAAAAATCGGGCTGCTGATATAGATTTCGAGAATTTTCTCAAAAACTGGTCAATCGATTTTATTCTAAGTTTCCTCTAGCCCAAAACCTTAGCTTTCATTTGGTATATAGCTTATATCTGGGAAAACTCTTGTTGTGGAGATATTACGATTCAAATTGAAAAAATGTCGCTCCAAATAGCGAAAAATGGTTAAAAGTTAACATATTCGTCTAATTTGGTTACTTTAAGTTATAAACGTAACATATCCAATTTCCGCAAAGAACTGTCCGTTCCCCGATAAAATAGTTTTTGTAAATTCTTTTGTGATGAAGTCAAGCTACTAACAAAGATAATCGATAGATAAATAAGCAGTTGTGTGGCAACTCTCATATACGCTCGAAAGTGTAAATGTAACGCCCATTGTTTATTACAAAAGAAAAAAGGCTTTGCAATTTTTTTTTTTAAATATTGGTAACATTTTTTTTAAGTTGTGGCAACCGTGCCCATAGACGGTTGCAGCTGCAGCGCGATGGCTAATAGGGCTTTCGCACGAGGCGATTTTTCAGGAAACTTTAAGTTGAAAGCAAAAATCGCCTCGTCTGAACGGCATTTCAACTAATAGTTGTCAACAAAGTTGGTCGCCAGCCAACTTTGAGCTCGTTCAACTTTTTTTCCTTGCGACCCTGTGTTTGTTTACATTCTGTATACATACCACCATTTTGAAATTGTATTCTGGCGAGTGGCTTGGTAAAAAAACACTTTTACCAACGCTTGGCTTACCAAATTTACGCCAATTGATACAATTTTGCGATCTAAATTCATTTAAAATAATGTAAATAACAATTCGTGTTGAATCGAAAATCGCCTCGTCTGAATAGGGATGGCAACTTTTTCCCTTTCCACTTCTCATTCAACTTCGCATTCAACTTTTGTTGCCTGTAAAATCACCTCGTTCGAATGCCCTATAACTCCCATCTTTTTGCGTGCGTTGACAATCAGCCGGTTTACTATTTCGCACACTGTCTTCAAAAAAGTCACAACTCAAAGTTTGGCATTTTTGAGATTATGCGCTATAAATGTACAATGAGCTTTTATTTATCTTTCAGCAAAAGCTGGAGCAAATTTTTGTTATAATTTGATTTAAAAAAAAAAAACCTAAAGTAAAGTCGCCCTTGTCCATTTGGTTATCATGTGCTAAGATATAGTTCTTCGCATTTTCTGACAAACGTATTATTTTGAGTTGTATCTCTTTCGGAGACGGTGTGCGATTTATTTTGTTGCGTTAAAATTCGAGAAGCATAAAATTTAATTGTATTGCTGATATTTTTAAAGCTAAATAAGTATATAAAATCCACAGCAATTTTGACGAGTAAAAAATCAGTAAAAAATCGTTTTCTTGGCGTTCATTGTGGCATACCTTTGGCATCTGTCGCTTTGCTGGCAAAGTTATAAATGTCACACAAAGCCACAAAGTTTTATCTGGCATCAGCTTAACAGTCAGTCACTACTACGAACTATGACGGCGATAAAGTAGCAGTGGCAATTACATATCGAGAAACTGCGACGAGTTATTTAGGACTAAAATTTGATAAATGTTTGATATTAGAATTTCACATCATTAAAAACGAGTGTGAATGACCAAATCAAACGAGGAAAATAGTTAGTGATGCCAAATAAATAAATAATGCGCTTAGTTCACTCGGTAAAAGATTCCTGTTTGCAATTTGTTTGTCACTGTTTTTGTCACAGTCACGGATGAAAATCACTGTGACTGCAAAGTCACAGTCACAAATAACTTTGTTCCTCAAAAGTCACGAGATTTACCATCTGCAATCTCTTTCAAAAACAGCTTATATCTTCTCGCAGTCGCGCCTTTAGTAGTACGATTCCGGACTAGTCAGAAATAGCCAGAATTAGCCCATTTTACTGGAAATCGATCCCATACTCGGTTCTCTGGCAATTGAGAGGACAAATAAGAATGTAGATAAGGTCCTCTCTCTGTCAGAAGTTACCAGTTTTAGTGCAAAGATTTGGAGCGTTTGAAAACCAAATTGCAAACACAAGAACAGTGCACTCTGCTAATTCATGTTCAAAGTCTAGCTTTGTTATTAATTAAGAAAAATAAAAAAATTTTACTAATTTGATTCATAAGGAATACCTTCATAGCCAAAAGTATCGATATGATTAGGTATCGATACTTTCGATCTGATATTTTTCAGGTATCGATACTTTCTTTCGATACTACTTCCAAGTAAAAGTATCGATACCTGCATGGTGTCGTTTCATCCCTAGGGCTGCCAACTTGGCTCAAACTGTGCCATTTTTTGCCCTATTTTACTTCAAATGGCACTTTATTTTTCAATTCGGTACAAAATGCCAAAATGGCACTTTTGAAAAATAGTAATATTTCAATACATTTTTGTGAAATCCTTTGCTTGTACTTCTTTTTCTCAAGTAAAATTTTCTAATTTCTATAGTGTATACAATTGATTTATGTTATTTTGGCATTGGACTTTTGTTTTAGGAATGTGTTTCTAATTTTTCAGATTTTGGCACTTTTTTATCCTCAATATGGCTCTTCATAGATAAGGTAGTTGGCAACCCTGGTCATACCAAAGCAAACAACCAAAGAATTATTTTGAAAACATAAAGGCAATTCCAAACACAAATTAGGCCAATTACCTGGCAATAGCGCACTGAAACACAAACGTGGAATTTTAGCTGTTAAACTGCTGGTGCAAACGTTGAAGCTTTATGGCTGTGCCAAATTGTTTTACGCCTCAAGCCAAGGCGTTACGCATGCGTCCACAAACGAGTCGCAGTAGCACACTATTTGCCATAGAAATAATAAACAACATTGTACCTACACCAATTAGGAGTTCGAATAAATATGTATGGCAATATACATAGAAATGCATTTAACCAACAACAAAGTACTTAAATAACACAATAATACTCGTAGTAAGAATAAAGCTTCATAATCGCATCAGTAACTGCACTTGCAATGCGCACGGGAAAGGAATTGTGAAACTTGGATGCAAATAAAACTACTGCACAACCATAAAGTCTATGTGACAAAACTACACACAGAATATACTCATGTACACCTTTATGTATGTAGAAATATGTATTTACATACATAAGTATGTATTTAGTTGCACAATTTTTGTACACAAATTCAAGCGGCACTTGTTGCGCGTCTTCATAAGTATGTAGTTATTTTTATTTTTGTTTTTGTTTTTGATTCTAGCCGGAAAAAAACGCTACATGAAATTCACAAACACCCACCGCAATACACATGTTTATTAATTCGTCGTCAATGCGCAACCGTACCCACCAACCGCTCGTTGACGCTGCAAATCTCCAACTGAGCAATTAAAACAGCAACGCATTCAGCTCCCCAGCAAAGTGGAGCTCGGAACCAGTGTTGCCGCGAAACATTTTTAGCGGTAGCTAAATTCAGGCTGAAAAAGGGCTAAAAAAGAGCTAAAAATCGTCGTTGTGGCTAAAAATGGTAGCTAAATTTTTTTACCTACATATAAATATATAAGTATACACGCAAACATTTTCTATAAGTAATGATATAGAAAAACAATGAACTCTGGAAAGAATTAATATTTTATTCAACAAAAAAACGTGTTGTGTAACACAAAGCATATTAAGGGCCGCCAACTTACCTATTTTAAAGTATAGTTAAATCGTTAATGGATAAGATAACGGCCCAGAAACGTAAAAAACATACATATACATATGTATGTACAGTTTAAAAATTAATTTCTTACATAAACAAAAAAATGAGATCACATTAAGAATACATACGTACTAGAATCATATCTATATACAGTGTCGGACAATACTAAATAACTTAAATAATTTCAAACTATGCTTCGAAAAATATTTATTTGTAAAAGAATTTTTTAAAATGTTATGTTATAATTTACAAAGAATTAAAATGTCGGTGCTTTATTATTGTCCGACGCTGTATGTATCAAACAAACAAAAGAGTATTTAATGAACTCATAGTAAAATAATTTAATCTATAAACATTTTTTTAACACATTAAATATCTATATCTATATCAATACTATCATCGCTAAGCGATTCTTCGTCGTTACAATTTTGTTCATTTCTCATTAACCTGACGATATCATCTGTAATTTCAAAATCATGACAACATTTCTGTACATTTTTTAAGCCATATCTTACAGTTAATAAAGCGTTTAACATTGCGAAATTCATTTTATTTCTGTGCTTATTTTTAAGGAAATTTATTATAGAAAACGTCCTTTCAACTTCTGCGTTACTTAAAGGTAAAAGAAGCAACCGATAAACAAACTTTTTCCACCACTTAAGCTAGCGACACAATGAACAGTTTATTTGCCTTAAAGGAAAGGCGTTCGCTTTATAAGCGAAGAGTTAAATTCATGAAAATCATATACAAAATTTTAATGTCAATGATGAATAAATTTTGAAAAGGGCTAAAAAAAGGGCTAGGGGCAATTTCAAATTTTTGTGGCCAAAAAAAGAATTTGGTAGCCAAATTTAGCCACCAAAGGACTAAACGGCAACACTGCTCGGAACACACCCACAGAGACTCGTACTCAGCGTTGGCACTTTGCTACGATCGTAGTAAATTTTCTACGATTTTTCAAAAATTTGCAAATTTGCTACCCCACTACGTTTTATTCTACATGTATACTCTTACTGCAAATTTTGTAAGAAGCGTCTGACCAGGGTTGCAACTGACGAAAAAATACTTACCATCTACTTAAAAAAAATCTACCAAATCTAGAAAATGTCTACCAATAACTTTTTTAGTTACCTATTTGAAAATTGTTTATTAAGGAACTTTTTATTTGACAATAAAACGGTGTTTGAGATAATATTAAAATCATCTTCACGGTTTTCTTCAACCAAAAGCGAAAATCATGAAACTAAAGGCAACAACAAAACTTCATAATTTAAAAAAAACTTCAACTGCAGTTATTATAGGCAAATACAGTGACTCAAAAAATCGCTATGTATTTTTTTGATATTCACACGTTTTTCAAGTACAATTTTTATTTTTAAATTTTTATACCTGAGCGCACTTGTGCACAAGGGTATTATAACTTTGTTCACATAACGGTTGTTTGTAACAGGCAAACCGAATCGAGATAGATATAGACAAATGTATACATAAACAAGTAAGAAAGTCTTAGTTCGGGCGGAGCCGAACATTAAATACCGGCGCAAGTATTAAATATATGTTTTCCTCCTTTCCGAAAGCTACCGCTACATGATAAGCCGGGGTGTATACATTTTAAGTAAATTAGCGTCCTTAAATTTCGAAATATTGAAATTTCAAGCATTTCTGAAATTTACCGTTATATGAAAAGCGGCCTCAATTTTAGTCCGATTTCAACAATTTTCAACGGTTTGCTTTTATGTGGCAAGCACAATAACCATACCGAGCTTGGTACAAATTTCTAGAACGGTTAGCGAGATACATATATGTGATCACAAGTGGGCGGTGCTACGCCCATTTTCCAAAATTTTGTCATAAACGTATTTCTTGGTAAAGAATTGTTGCAACCATCAATCTTGAATAAATTAGCTTCAATATTTACTGATTTATGGAAGATTTTGTATTTCTCGAAATTACCGTTATATGGGATGTGGGCGTGGTTATTGTCCGATTTTAGAAATTTTCGGCCATTTGGTATGCTGTGCCAGGACCAACAACTGTGCCAAGTTTGGAATAAATTGGTAGAACGGTTACCAAGATATACACATGTAACCATATACGCCCATTTGCCAAAATGTTTTAATATTCTTATTTCCCGTCTAAAACTCATTGTAAATATATATAAAATATGTTTGTGATAAAATTTTGGAAAATGGTCGTGGCACCGCCGACTTATGATCACATATATGTATTTCGGTAACCGTTCTACCAATTTGTCCCAAACTCGGTACGGTTATTGTGCTTGCCACATAAAAGCAAATCGTTTAAAATTGTTGAAATCGGACTAAAATTACGGCCGCTTTTCATATAACGGTAAATTTTAGAAATGCTTGAAACTTCAATATTTTGAAATTTAAGGACGCTAATTTACTCAAAATTGATACACACCGGCTTACCATGTAGCGGTACCTGCGCCGGGTATTTAATGTTCGGCTCCGCCCGAACTTAGACTTTCTTACTTGTTTTATATAAGAATATTGTTTGCGCTTTCACGAAACCCACAAAAATCACGGATTCAAGCCACTGAAAACATTTAGACAAATTCAAAAACAATTCGTCTAAATTTCGAACTTTTTTCTGTGAATTTTTAGAACACTTTTGGGTATGCTGTTTCATAGCGAACAATCATAGCGTGAAATTACATACTTGTCCATTTTTTCTTTTTTAATACCCGAGCGCACTTGCGCATAAGGGTATATTAATTTTGTTCACATAACGGTTGTTTGTAACAGCCAAAACGAATCGAGATAGATATAAGGTTTGTTCGTCGAGCAAAAAATTTGTACGAATTTGTACGAATTATCACGATTTTTGCCCAAATCGCGTTCGTGCAGACCAAAAAATTATCCAACACTCAAAAATTGTGAGAGCAAAGTGACAGTTCTCTTGGAGAGAAGTTGCAAATTCTTGCTGGAAAAAATTTTGCCAGCAAGAATTTGCAAACACGAAAAACATGTGCTTGTGGCGCATGGTTGCATTTTTGTCTACAATAATTTGAATAAATTAGTTCGTTAAATTTAAAAATTTATAAACGAGCGATTTTTTTATGAAAAAAGGAAGTAAATAATTGTTGATATAATTAATTTAGTTAATTCCAATGATTTGAACTTAATTCGGCTGAAAAAAATGGTATTCGCAATCGGAATGCAATTGCAACCAGAGTCGATTTAAGAATCCCGACAGCTAGTACGATGAAGAAATTGAAATGTATGTCAAAGAAAGTCAGAACAACAAGAAATATACATGTATATCCTGTTTTTGGCCATCCGAAAGAATTTTAAAAATTCTATAAAAATTGTTTATGTTTGAAATGCAACCGTGGACGCCAGCTGGCAGCGAAACTTGCAAATTCCTGCAAATTTGCGTTCGTGCAGAAATTTACAAGTTTCTCAACATGAGAGAGAATTTGAGAGAATTTTTTCTTACTCTCTGATATTTTGAGTGTTGGATAATTCTTGCTGGATTTTCGACGAACAAACCTATAGACAAATGTATACATAAATGCTCAGAATGAATAGAGAAGTCGATTAAGCGATGTCTGTCTGTCCGTCCGTCTGTCCGTCCGTCCGTGTACGCGATAACTCGAGCAAAAATTGAGATATCTCAACGAAATTTGGTATGTAAGTTTCCATTAATCCAAGGTAGGTTGGTATTGAAAATGGGCGAAATCGGACTGTAACCACGCCCACTTCCCATATAACGGTAATTTCCAGAAATACGAAAACTGCGATATTTTAGTAACTGCTGAAGATAATTCACTCAAAATTGATATTTACAATAATTTTCAGACGAAAAATAAGAATATTATAAATTTTTGGAAAATGGGCGTAGCCACGCCCACTTATGGTTACATGTGTATATCTTGGTAACCGCTGCACCAATTTCATCCAAACTTGGCAAAGTTGTTGGCCTTGGTACAGCATACTAAATGGCAGCAAATTTAAAAAATCGGACAATAACCACGCCCACATCCCATATAACGGTAATTTAGAGAAATACAAAATCTTCGATAAATCAGTAAATATTAAAGCTAATTTATTCAAAATTGATGCTTGCAACAATTCTTTACCAAGAAATACATTTATGGTAAAATTTTGGAAAATGGGCGTGGCACCGCCTACTTATGATCACATATCATCACACACATCAAGGTGAAAAAACATATATTTAATACTTGCGCCGGGTATTTAATGTTCGGCTCCGCCTGAACTTAGACTTTCTTACTTGTTTTTTTTTTAAGAATCATTTAAAATGTTTAAGCAATCAAACACTCCTCAGGATTCCAGTAAAACGAGTTTTGAATGGAGCACGATATGTTCGCCTTTTATCGAAAGCGTTCAAAAATTAAAGCAATAAAGTAGGCTACGCTTTTGGAGAGACATTTATAATATAAAGTTACCTACGAAAAATAAAGCGGGAACTAAAATTGTATTTGTTTTTCAATCAAAATACTTTACCAAAAATTTACCAAAATGAAAGAAAAATGTAAGTTTTTACCAACCCAAATTTTTTCTACCAATTTTTGTAATAATTTACCAAAGTGGCAACATCCGTCTGAGCAAAAATATCTGCACCGTCGGTAAAATTTTCGCATAACAGACAGAAAGATTCAATGTGCGTG